TATTTTTTGTCTTTACAACCCCTGTAAAATTAAAGCAATAATATGATTGGCTAAAGCAATCTTTTGAAAATTAAAGAGAGTTTCACTAACAGATATGCTAAGGTTTTAATTTAAAATTCTTTGATGCAATTACGTTTCTACCTGTCCATACTTGAATGATCTATCAGGATCACACATTAGCATGGTGCCTAACTATTACCGGTAATAATATAAATAATAGAGATAATAGAGATACACGTGGATCTCGATATGGTTCCAGTCCTTTGCTCCGTTATATCAAAAGCTCCATAATACGATATATCTAATATTATAGTATATAACAGATAAATCATAATTTGGGTTCCATTATAATTCTCCGTATTAAGCAATATCCGAGCCAAGTGTAGTAGGATTGAAAAAGGTGTGAAATTGGAATCAAACTGTTACGACATTGATCAATCAGACAACATTTGCTGCATCGAAGACAGGATAAGACAAGGTGCATTGATACTATCATTGATCCTTCTTCTGATCCTACAGTTAATATCACAACCACCGTCAGAATGACACCGGAAATATCTTCAAATTTTAATTGGTTGTAATGTGAAATAGCATTAATAAAATTGTTGAGACGAGAAAAGTATATGCTATCATAATATTTAAAAGAGAATATAAATTATTCTTTTTAAACTAATAATTAGCTTTACTATAATCCATTATTATTTCTAATTCCAAATAAGTAACAAATGCCCAGTTTTTAAAAATTCCCTTAGAACTACTCACTTCGGCTGATTCTAGGCAATGTTCGAAAAGCTTCGATTCCCCTGTTGTAATAAACCCGGTTCAAACATTCCTTCTAGGTCATTCTTTTCGACATCGACACCATGCTTTGTAACATAGCTCTTCATCCATTTGGCTCATTGTTTAAAAACATCAGGTGATAAATTTTATTTTACTTATTTAAGTTTAATAGTACGTTAATAAAACAATACACAAGGCATTGTTCATTGTGCTTTTCCAAATCTGTAAGGACATTAAAACATCGTCCAGTCTGATACGTACGTACGTACATACGCACCTCAAGCCTAATTTCATGCCCAAATTAGGCATCGATATAGCAAATACGTAACGATAAATTAATTTCTTAATGACTGATAATCTTTTCATATACGACAATAAGAACTTTATTTTTATATTTACTAAGCCTAACTTAGTTTTCAAGAGATTCTTGTGTTTAAATGAAATCTACGTACAGTTAACAGAACCAGATTTTTGAAAGTTTTGATTCTGAACATTATATCGTTGATGTTCGTCAAATTATTTATACAATTTTATCAAAGTTTTTTTTTACCAAGCCAAGTGTTTTGATATTTGGTGCCGCCAAGTGAAACCTGTCATAAATTTATAATTTACCTGAGTTCGGTAATTAATAAACTAGGGGGGTACGTATCCATTTTTTGCTGAGAAATCAAACAAAGGCACGGTATTGATTTCCTAGCCAATCAAATTCAGCATATTCATTTTTTAACCAAGATTGGCAGTACTTTATATTATATCGATTTCTTGGTCTTTAGATCTGATATTACGCGAACTAATTCTTTGGTTTGGTTCTTATCTTAATAAGCCATTAATTTTAACGGCCATTTAGTTATAAACACTTTCGAATCGCTTGTTTTTTGAGTATTTATTGACTTCTCCTAAGAATAATTTGCGATGTCTCGATTTGTACGATCCTCGAAATTCAGGTACAGCTCATCTTAACTTACTAACATGCTTAGACAAAGTATACTCTTTTATCAACAAATATGAACGAAATAATTATAATTTTATTTATAATATTTAATGGTTATGATTCGATTATTTCTTATCAATTTATATATATATAAGACACGTTTTTGGTAAGGCGGAAAAGTATGAAAACTGCTTCGATAACGTCAGAATTTCGACAAATGCGTGGGATACCAACCTCGTTAAAGTTAATCCTGTAAGTTTTGGTTGAACTGATTACTCGATCGGACATTTAATGCGTTATTGCGCTTTTAATAACGTCTTTTTTTTTAAAATAATAATAATAATAATCATCGCATCCATTCATATTTTATACCTAGCTTTTTATTGCCATCAATTGGAACGCCGGCGGAGGTGGAGCTTTCGCCGTGATACCACATAAGAATGTTGGTAAGTTTTACTGTATGCCACTCAAATAATATTTATTTAATGAATTTACATAATTTAATCATGTACATGCCTATTACTAGGTAAAATACATGATGGCATACCATTATATCGTGGACATACAGCTCCAGTATTGGATACGGATTTTGCGACCTTTAATGATTATGTTATTGCATCTGGTGCTGAGGATACCAAAGTAATGATTTGGAATATTCCAGAAGAACTTGGTGAACCTGAATCGCCTGATATTGAGCCGGTCGCTAAATTGAATGGTCACGGACGGTAAGAGATTCATTACAGAAAAATCATTTTTATAAAGTTAATAATTTTAATTATGAATTAAATATTCACCTGTATTAATTATTCGTTTTAATTGCTCAAATGCCATAGGAAAGTGGGTCATGTTTTATTCCATCCTGTAGCGGATAATATTCTTGCTTCTTCATCAGCCGACCTTACTTTAAAGTTATGGGATATTGAAAAAGGTCAAGAAAAACAATGTTTACAAGGTTTCGTAGATTTTATACAATCCATGTCCTGGAATTATAATGGTAGTTTACTGGCTACAACGTGTCGTGATAAGAAACTTAGGATTTTTGATGTTCGTTCTGGAAATGTTGTTCAAGAGGCTTCCAGTCATCAGGGTATTAAAGGATCTAGAGTCGCTTGGCTTGGTGATACTGATCGAATTGTGACAACTGGTTTCTCAAAAATGAGTGACCGTCAATTATATCTATGGGATTCTGCAAATTTGGATAAACCGCTAAAGAATATTCTGGTGGACACTTCATCTGGTGTTCTCATGCCATTTTATGATAATGATCTTAAGATACTGTATGTGGCTGGGAAGGTGAAATTTTTTCGCTTACATTATTCTTACTATGATTTATTTATTAAATTTATTTAAATTCTTCGAATTATATATATATATATATATCATAATCCATTTTAGGGGTTTGTATTTATTTAAGTATAATTACAATAAATTTCATATATATTTATTTATTTCTAACATTTCGTTTACTTGATGTGTTATAGTGATGGTAATATTAGATATTACGAATTTGAAAATGATGAGTTATTTTTCCTAAGTGAATATAAATCAACTGAACCTCAACGTGGAATGGCATTTATGCCAAAACGTGGTATCAACGTATCTGAGTGTGAAATTGATAGAGCTTACAAAGTTTCTAATAATTCTGTCGAACCAATTTCTTTTGTTGTACCACGAAGGGTATATTGTATTTTCATTTATCAATTTAAGGTTATATTTGATTATTTCTAAATGAATGCTTTTTATTATTATTAGTCTGATGCATTTCAATCTGATTTATTCCCTCCAACTTTGAGTGGCGAGCCTGCTCTCTCTGCAGACGAATTTTTCAGTGGTAAAAATGCAAATCCCAAAACTATTAGTTTAGAGAATGGATTTCAGGCTAAAGAGAAAAAAGAATTTGTTTCTGCTGCTCCAAAGGAAGAAGAAACTGTTTCACCAACTCCAAAGACTGAAAAAGAAGTGCGTACTTTATTTTTTATTCATAAATTCTTAAACATTACTTATCACTGATCTTATGCTTGTTATCATATAATAGTATCAAGATGCATACCATCAACTTCGTCAAGAGAATGAAGATCTTCGAAATCAGTTGGCGCAACGTGATGTGACAATTAGAGCATTAACGATTCAATTAGAACAGTTGAAGGCAGGATCATCTTAAATTTATTTAAATTTATTCAACTCTGAATTTTTTTTTATTTTTAGATATAATATTTATTCGGAAGGTGGTTTTTATGTATTAAGTTATTTATTTGTTTAATTAATAAATTTTATCAAATATAGATTATAAAATAAAATGCATTCACAGATGGGTTAGTTTTCTAGTTTTTCATTTAAATAATTTTACTGTATAAATTTTGTTTTTGCTATGAGTCATTTAAATGCTAACTGTTTATGGTTAGTGGTTAAGTTAGCGTGCTGTATTGATAACAATTTTGCGATTATTGATTAAATATAGTGGTACGTTAATTTTACTAAATAATTCATGATTTGATATGGGCTAGGTGCTGCAAAAAGGGACCAAATTGACAATTTTTTAAAGATATTTTTTCACATAAATCAATTTAGAATAAGAGTAGTTGTGTTAATAAAATTTTGCTATATTGCTCTTTAAGGTTTGGATTTTCTTATGATTTGTTATGAGATTTATAACATAAAAATTGATTTTCCGAAGATTTTTTGTTTTGTCAATTTGGTCCCTTTTTGCAGCACCTAGCCCATATATATAATTTTTATAAATAAAAACAAAAGCTAATTTATTTAATAATTTTTTTTATCAAAATTATATATAAAATGATTTACGTATTCTTTATTCTTAAATAAAGCATCAAGAAAGTAACTTTTGTACCATCAAAAGTGTCCGGAATAAAACAACAGTATATATATTTTAAATTTATCTTATATAGTATTGTAGTTTTTATTTTATATTTTTTATTTTAATTAAAATTAAGACCAATTTACAATATTAGAGTATATAAACAGATTTTACTAGGCTCTAGTTTATAAGGTATGCTGTATAAGCATTTGGATTACAAAAATTTTTTTGTGTTTCAATATCTTCATGTTATACTACCAGGAAAAATGTAACAAACAATAATGTATACGGTGAACGAAGTAACCAACAACCCATAAATAGATAATCATCACTCCGGCCTGATGATCCAATGTGACCGATACTCCGGACTGAGTAACGGCGGCATTCTAGTTTCAGCACCGGGAAATCCAGGATTATAAATTCTATGACGAAATTTAGACCGTTGTGAAACCAGGCGGTTCAGCTTCAAAGAAAGAAAAAATATTTCTATTTTTTAGTCAACCTACTTACGCTTTTATTGCTGTGCTGAGGTAAAGAAACAAAAATTTCATCCTTTCGGCCCTCCGTAGATTATTTGATTCAAGCACAGGTACGTGTCTTTATCATCATCAGAACAATTTTTGAATGGTATGCTTCGTTCGACAATATGCTAATTTCGCAACCGATAAACTCTTTAACATCAGAATACCAAAGATAACATCATGGAGTGGGCACCAACACAGGAAGGGCTTTCACAGCTGTTACAGCTGCTTAAAGATTCAGTCTCCTCAAATAACGAAATTCACACCATGATACAACAAGTATCCTTTATTCGAAGCTTTTTATTTCATTCTAAATAAGTTGGCGTAGTTTTTGCTTCAATGGTAGCTCAAACGCGCTTATACAATTCATTAAGATCTTCATACTTAGAGTTTTTTTTGCAGTTCATGGCGAATTATTATTACCGCGTTGTATGTTTAAAGATCTGTGAATTGCTTCGTCTCATTCTGTATTGCTTATTTACTTCACTGCGTATAGTTGACACTATTAACGTCTTTCATTCAAAATTTATTCTACCATGTTCAGACATATGAACAAAGTTAATTTATTTATCCTTAATAAATTTTGTTCCTTTATTCTTATTAGAAACTCGATTCATTTAATAAAATACCCGATTATCCAAATTACCTTGTCTACATTCTTACTCAAATGCCACAAGAAGAGGCATCAACTCGTGCAATCGCAGGTTTACTTTTAAAAAACATTATCCGCGTGCATTTTTCGTCAATTCTAAGTGAGGTGCTCGCATATGTAAAGACATTATCGATTAAGGGATTAGGAGATCCAGATGTTATGGTCCGAGGTATTATTGGAAATGTTATTACCACAATCGTAACGAGAGGAGGTTTGGCGGATTGGCCGCAAGTCTTACCGAGTTTGATGGAGTTATTGGACTCTCCAGACTATAATGTTGTAGAAGTTAGTATTTTATTTTTATTTCATTTTTTATAATATATATTAAACTTTAATTATTTGAGCTTTCATGCTAATAATTGGCTGTTGAACTTAGGGCGCATTTGGTGCATTGCAAAAAATTTGTGAAGATTCTGCACGAGAACTTGATCAGGATATTGAAGGAACACGACCACTTAATTACATGATTCCAAAAATAATTGCATTCTTTGATTCCCCACATGTAAAAATTCGTGTATACGCAATATCATGCATAAACCAATTCATTCTTATGCGATCGAATTCTCTTTTCATTCATATTGATGCATTTGTGGCGGCTCTCTTCAAAAGAGCCGGTGATGAAAATCCAGAGGTCCGTAAAAATGTTTGTCAAGCTCTGGTAATGTTGCTTGAGGTACGTCCTGATAAGCTTATGCCTGAAATCAATAATGTTGTGGAATATATGCTCTATTCCACTCAAGATCAAGACGAACAAGTTGCGCTCGAGGCATGCGAATTTTGGTTAGCATTTGCAGAACAAGAAGAGCTTCGGGAGCATTTGCGCCCATTTCTTGATAGAATTGTTCCTGTATTGTTAAAAGGCATGGTGTATAGCGAAATGGATATCTTGACTCTTGGAGGTGATGAAGATGATACCGACGTTCCTGATAGCGAAACAGATATTAAGCCTCGTTTTCATCGGGCAAAAACACACACATTTGAACGTACAGAAACAAACGGTGGTGAAGCCTCTACACCTGGGAATCGCGAAGAGGAAGATGATGAAGATGATGAGGACGATGATATGGACGACGATGATATTTATTCTGAATGGAACCTTCGAAAATGTTCAGCGGCTGCATTGGATGTACTTGCTACCGTTTTTGGTAATGTATTGCTGGAAATTTTATTGCCATTCTTAAGAGAACAACTGTTTCACCAAGAATGGAAACACCGAGAATGTGGAATCTTAGCTCTTGGAGCTGTTTCAGAAGGTAGGTCGAAACGAATGTAAACCATCATTTCTTTTACCAACTATTGACATGTAATCTCTGTTTATCCACTTTTGTCACTTCAATAAAATAAAAGGATGCATGGAAGGAGTGGAACCTCATTTACAAAATTTGGTCCCTTATCTTATCCAAACTCTTAATGACCCCAAGGTGTCATTGTGTTCCAACTATTGAATGAGTCCTTATATAAAACAATATTACACAACCAAATTTTAATAGTCTGCTTCGTTTACTGTTTAGCCTCTTGTCCGTTCAATCACGTGCTGGACCTTGGGCCGTTATTCTCGATGGTGTGTAAATCCTTCCAGTACACCACAAGATAGATCAAAATATTTTGAACCTTTGTTAGTTGGGGTGAGTTATTTATCATAGTTTCCCATTGTGTATTAAATTAAAAATTATTAGATCATATAACATTGCGTTTTTTGTTCCCTACTATTGCTTTTCCCTTTATTCACTTTAAGCTCTTACACAGGGTTCTTGACAACAATAAACGTGTTCAAGAGGCAGCTTGTAGTGCCTTCGCTACTCTTGAAGAGGAAGCTTGCGAGTTGCTCATTCCTTATTTGGATCCAATTCTTCGGAATCTTGTTTTTGCTTTCACTAAATATCAGCACAAAAACCTGCTTATTCTTTATGATGCCATTGGTACCTTAGCTGATTCAGTTAGTGGAGCACTTAATAAAAAAGAGTATATAGACATCCTTATGCCGCCGCTCATCGAAAAGTGGCACCTGCTCAAGGATGACGACAGAGATTTGTTTCCATTGCTGGAGGTTTGCAGAAATATATCAAAGTTCATTTCTTTCAGATTATCTAATTTCATTTCTTTATGGACTTACAAGCTCGAATATAATCAATGCAGTGTTTGTCGTCTGTCACAACAGCTCTTGGATTAGGATTCCAGCCTTTTGCACAACCAGTTTTTGAACGTTGCGTCAAATTGATCCACAATACCTTGGTTCAATACCAACTTCATCAACAAAATCCATCATTAGACATGCCGGATAAGGATTTTATGATTGTTGCCTTGGATTTATTAAGTGGTTTGACACAAGGATTAGGAAATCAGATTGAGGGACTTGTATCCAGCAGTTCTCCGCCATTATTAACTTTGCTAAGCGTCTGCTTAACAGTACGTCAATTTATTTTATTTGAAATTTTCACTTTAAAGTATATGTTCGCTAATAGTATATAAATAAACAGGATCCTGTCGCTGAGGTTCGACAATCTGCCTACGCGCTTTTAGGAGATCTGTCAATTGCTTGTTTCACTCATATCAAACCTTATCTTAATCAATTCATGGTCGATCTGATTAGTCAAGTCGATCCAAATGCTGAACACGTTAGCGTTTGTAATAATGCAGCATGGGCAGCTGGTGAAATCGCATTGCAATGCGGTAGACTATCCTTTTTAAATTAGAATGGCAATTTTTACAGATTAAAATTTAATTCTGCATGAATTTCAATTAATTAGGTTCTGAAATGCAACCATGGATTCCTCCTCTGTTGGAACGATTGATTCCTCTTCTGATAAGTGAAACTACCCCTAGAACTCTTTTGGAAAACGCTGGAATTACTATTGGCAGGCTAGGTTTGGTATGCCCACAATTGGTTGCACCACATCTAGATACATTTTCTGAAGCTTGGTATTGTATATATTGCATTGTATAAGTCCTATTAAAAGAAGCAATAAAGTAACATTATTACTTTAATTATTTTTGTGACAGGTGTAAAGCTTTGAGGTCAATTCGTGATAATGACGAAAAAGATACCGCTTTTCGAGGCCTATGCGAGATGATTCAAGTTAACCCCAATGGGATTGCGAAGGTTATTTTTCATTGACGTTCAATGAATAAAGTTATTATATTAATAATTTCATTTTTATTAAGTCTATCTTCTT